ACACACACACACACACACACACACACACACACACACACACACACACACACACACACACACACACACACACACACTTTTCTTTCCTTGTAGGTTTCTCTGGGGGAAGGTTGTTTAAAATATCTTCTGTTTTCATTCTGTCTGTGTCTTTGTTGGGAAGATTTAACCTCACTTCCTGTCCAGGTGTCACAAGTACAGGAAGTAATAGGATGTCTTTTAGGTAGAGACGGAAACAAAAGCCACTCCCCCCTTGCCCGCGGTGCGATCGCCCGAACGCGCGACGCCTTAGTGCTTGCAGCATTTTTGAAGCTCGCACTGGACCAGAACGCAGGCACTAATGTGCCACGCGTTCGGGCACGGGCGATTGCACTGCGGGCGTGGGGGGCGTGGCTGCAGTGCCATTGACTTCAATGTACCGACACGCCCCCTCCCGCCCCTGAACGCAGGGAGCCGGTACAACCGTGCAAGGCAGAGGTTCCATGCAGGGCTGCTGCGGCCATATTCCAGAGAGCTCCTCACATACGCAGTGGGCGGGTCTGCTTCCCGAATTCCAGCTCCGTATCTTTTCCACGGACCACCTTCCCCTACCAAGGCAGCGGGGGTCCCATAGAAGACCGCTAGGCCCTAATCCTACCAGACTCCGCCCATATTCTGAAATAGCCCTTTTGGGGCAGATTGGCTTAAAGGGAAAGTGCGGGAGCCGGCAGAATTAATGAGGAAATAAATCTGAGCCAATGAGAGTTCTCGCTGGATACGTCAGGGTGCTAATTGGTGCTCCGTCGTAACGCAAAGCGCGGACTTCCTCCGCTGGTAAGTGCGCTATTTCCTTATAAGGTAGGTGTGCTATTTCCTTATAAGGTAAGTGCGCTATTTCCTTATAAGGTAGTTGCGTCATTTCCTTATAAGGTAGGTGCGTCATTTCCTTATAAGGTAGGTGCATCATTTCCTTATAAGGTAGGTGCGCCATTTCCTTATAAGGTAAGTGCGCCATTTCCTTATAAGGTAGGTGCGCCATTTCCTTATAAGGTAGGTGCGTCATTTCCTTATAAGGTAGGTGCGTCATTTCCTTATAAGGTAGGTGCGCCATTTCCTTATAAGGTAGGTGCGTCATTTCCTTATAAGGTAAGTGCGTCATTTCCTTATAAGGTAAGTGCGTCATTTCCTTATAAGGTAAGTGCGTCATTTCCTTATAAGGTAAGTGCGTCATTTCCTTATAAGGTAAGTGCGTCATTTCCTTATAAGGTAAGTGCGCCATTTCCTTATAAGGTAGGTGCGCCATTTCCTTATAGGGTAGGTGCGTCATTTCCTTATAAGGTAGGTGCGCCATTTCCTTATAAGGTAGGTACGTCATTTCCTTATAAGGTAGGTGCGTCATTTCTTTATAAGGTAGGTGCGTTATTTCCTTATAAGGTAGGTGCACCATTTCCTTATAAGGTAGGTGCGTTATTTCCTTATAAGGTAGGTGCGCCATTTCCTTATAAGGTAGGTGCGCCATTTCCTTATAAGGTAGGTGCGCTATTTCCTTATAAGGTAGGTGCGCCATTTCCTTATAAGGTAGGTACGTCATTTCCTTATAAGGTAGGTGCGTCATTTCTTTATAAGGTAGGTGCGCTATTTCCTTATAAGGTAGGTGCGTCATTTCCTTATAAGGTAAGTGCGTCATTTCCTTATAAGTTAAGTGCGTCATTTCCTTATAAGGTAAGTGCGCTATTTCCTTATAAGGTAAGTGCGCCATTTCCTTATAAGGTAGGTGCGTCATTTCCTTATAAGGTAAGTGCGCCATTTCCTTGTAAGTAGGTTATCTCTCTAGATAGAAGGCGCTCGGCGGCCCAGCGCGGGGCGTTCAGTGAAGCGAATTGGAGCAACTTAATTGATTTCCCGAAGACGCTCGGCGGTGAAACGCGGCCGGGAAATGGGTTAGTGCGTCGGATGTCTTAAAGCGGTACTACGCCGCAAACTCCCGACAGTCCTGCAGTGGCACTGACGCTTCTCCTGAAACAAATATCCGCCATCCCGATCCTCCAGCTTCAACGTTCCCTAACCCGCCGACGGAGTCAGAACGCGCGGCCTGTCCCGCTTCAGCGGCCTGAGAAGCGGTGAAGCCGCAGGATCGGAATGGCAGGCGGGCAGCGAGCCTTCCTCACGGCCGTCTACCCGTTCCTCGCTATGCGCGCCGTGCGTCTCGTTGGGCGACGAGTCGGGTTTATAGCAGGCGACGATTGGTTTCCGTGGAAACACGCCGGGCTGGCTGAGGAGGATTTTTTTAATAAATAGGTTCATCTGACAGGCAAATTGCCGAAGAAAACCGTTTCAAGCCGCAGCCCACACAACGCCTCCGTCCGTGGGCGGCGGCCAACTCCATGGATGAGGAGCCGAGAGTTACATTGTATCCTATTAGATCACTGCCTTGTCATCGAGGGCTCCGCCCCTCTTCTATGATGTCACTACGCCAGGCGGAATACTCTCTGCGGATGTATCCGCGTTCCATTATAGAGATAAGGGCTCGTGCACAATGCGTGCGTTGTGTAGGGGCGGAGCCATGTAGGGGTGGAGCGCTCTTTCAATTTTTTTATCGAATTATCAAAAAATTTAATTTTTGTGACGTAACCCCGCCCCATTTTTACGCACGCTGCACCGCCTGCGGTGATCAATACTGATGATCAACAATGAAGACCGGTCACTGCTGCTCTCTCTCCTTGTGCAGGGTGACATGTCTTGTCTCCTCCCCCTCCTGTAATATAGACCGCTCACTGCTGTGCTCTCTCTATGTGCAGCGTAACTGGTCTTGTCTCCGCCCCCTCCTGTAATAAAGATTGCTCACTGCTGCTCTCTCTCCTTGTGCAGGGTGACTGGTCTTGTCTCCGCCCCCTCCTGTAATATAGACCGCTCACTGCTGCTCTCTCTCCTTGTGCAGGGTGACTGGTCTTGTCTCCGCCCCCTCCTGTAATAAAGACCGCTCACTGCCGCTCTCTCTTCTTGTGCAGGGTGACTGGTCTTGTCTCCGCCCCCTCCTGTAGTGGGTGGAGCCTTCTGAGCCCCTCCCACAGCTCTGCTCCTGCACAGGCCATGTACAGCACAGTGATGATGATGTCACCGCTACCTTTACAAGGTAATATCTGGGTTCGCTGCACACAAGGGGGATTTATTTCCTCCTGGGACCATTGATGGTGGAAGTTGAACAGATACAAATGCAGAATAATAAACCACTTAAACTGCCGCAATCCGGGCAGCTGATTGGTTTGGACAGTCCATAGAGGGGGCCCCCGCGGGGCCACGCTTGTGTGCGACCCTCAGATTTCCTGCTGATCTGGTGACCCGTAGGAGGACACGATGGGATGTGACCGGCCTGCAGATGGATCGGCCACGAATGATGAATGTGTATAGCCGAGCGGAGTTCCTGCGCTCTGCACGTATTTATCACGCTTCTTGCTTTTCCAGGCTCGGGGCTCGGACACTCTGGATACCGCCGCGGAAGGAGCCGGGCGCCTCATACCCTCAGCAGCGCCCGCCAGTGTCAAGGGGAGGCCCAATAAGAGGTACGGCATTGGGGTCGGGGGGGGGGCGCTTCAATGTGACTTTTGCTGTTCCATATTTACATGACAGAATCCTATACAGACCCGCTGCTCAGCTTTCCTATATCAGCAACTGCTGAGATAAAACTCCAGCCGCAGGGTGCATTGTTTTTAACCAGTCATACCTGACTGGGAGACTTACACTGAGCAACAGTAAAGGGCAATATGGATATCCCCACCTCGTGTTCATTCTTATGTCGTAGCCGTGAACGGTGGGGGGAGGGGCACAGACAATGCAAGGCCCCCATTCACCGCCAAAGAGTAGAACTGAGGCCCCGCCTGACAACAGGAAGTGAGAGACAATCCCTCCAAAGAGAAGGTGTCACCAGAAATCGTGTCCCCATTGGAAGATCTCCCTTCTCTTCCTGTTCTGGTGACAACCCCAAATAGAGAGGGTGAATCTCCCCAACGGGGGACACAGACAGCAGGAAAAAACCTGACCGTGGGGGTCTGAATCCCTTTCCACCCCATCCAAAGCTCCAGGACGGGGCGCAGTCCACAAATGATTCTACTGATAAAGCCGTGAGTGCGACTTTCACTTTAACATTCACTGGTGGTGAATCAGTTAAGGTCCAGGGAGTGTTTTATCACCCGGTTACATTATGTATCTCTACAGGGATGGTATCGAATGGAATATATGGGAGCGTGTTTAGAAATCGGCGGACTTTCACCAATTTATTCACCGGCGGTGTCATTTAAAGCACACGCACCTGGAAGATTCACCTGCAGTGAATGTTTTGGTGAAAGCAACATTCACTGTTTTGTAGCTAGTCCTAGGTTAGGGATTGGGTTCATGTGCGTCCTAGCTGCCCTCCCAGTGTTGGAAACGACGGCGCGGGGTGACAGGTTCTCTTTCACGCCGACTTTCACTGCATCGGTGAATTTTTTGGGGGATTTAACCCTTGCTCTCCTTTTCTTTTTTTCCCCAGGGTGACCCGCGGCCCCTTTGTGAAGCTGGCGGACTGCGCCCATTACCACTACGAGAATGTTAATTATGGCCCCATCCAGGTGAGAAGCAAAACTTTATCGTTCGCATGTTATAGTGTATCTCTGGGCAAGCTGCTGGAGGAACTACAAGTCCCATGAGGCATTGCAAGACTCTCAGAGCCACAGGCATGACTCCCGGAGACAGATGCATCATGGGATTTGTAGTTTCATCACAGCTGGAGTGCGGCTGAGGTTGTCTACCTCTGGATTAGGACTCTCTGTTGGGTATTAACTGCGGTCTGTGTTCCCACTGGGGAGATTCGCCCCTCTCTGGAGATCCGCTCCTCTCTGGAGATCCGCTCCTCTCTGGAGATCCGCCCCTCTCTGGAGATCCGCCCCTCTCTGGAGATCCACCCCTCTCTGGAGATCCACCCCTCTCTGGAGATCCGCTCCTCTCTGGAGATCCGCTCGCCCCTCTCTGTTTGTTCTCACCGAGACCCTAGGGAGGGGAAATCCAACATTTCAAAGCTGTCCCCAGAACAGGAAAAGAGAGGAGATCTTCCAACCGGGACACCGGTTCCCGTGACAACCGTCTAAGACAGGGGTGGCCAAACTCCGGCTCCCCCGGCTGCGGTGGAACTAAAAATCCCATGAGGCATTGCAAGATTCTCACAGACATGACTCCCGGAGAGAGATGCATCATGGGATTTGTAGTTTCGCCACAGCTGGGGGGCCGGAGTTTGGCTAACTTTGGTCTAAGAGAGTTCCTCTCGCTTTGGGAGATTTCCTCTGACTTCCTGTTGGGTCTGTGGGACAGGAAGTGAAGGGAAATCTCCAGAATGACACAGAGACGGCAAAACAATTATCTTGGATTGTACTCTGTCCAAAATCCCAAACCTTTGCAGAGATGCTGAGTGTGCCCAGTGTGCCAGGTCTGCGCTCTCACTTGGGCGCATAGTCGGGGGAAATTTAAATGGAGTTTTTCTTTGTCGTTG